AATACAGCTGATTTAAAGCAGCATAAACTATAAGGTGAAAGGACACACAGATACGTAAGTATTAGTTAGGTCAAGCAAACTAGATTAGCAGTTTCTAGTTCAAGTTTTCAACAGAATCATACGGGTGGATTATTATTATTGGTTATTCAATGGCAACTTTTCAGCATATGTTGCTAAATTTTATGAAATTCTCCTAATTAAGGGGAATTTAGCGTCACGTGATATTAGCTTAAGCAATTGGCATAAACAATGATGCTTGATATGGCTGTACAAATTGCATCAGGGTCATAACACGAAACTATTAATATATATTCCATGATGTTACTATAAAGAAAGTTATTAACACTGTTTAGAGAAGAAAAACTACCACCATATATTTTAAAGCATCTGGTTAGTTCTGCAAAATATAGGTCTTTTCCAAATAATAGGGTTGCAATCCTAAAGCTAATGTTAGTTACTATCGAGTGGCACTTTCATATTTGCTGTGGTTTGTTGGTGTATATTGACAAAAAGTCATGATATCTAATGAAAAACACCTTAGGTGTGAGAAAAAAGGTGCAGCCAAAAAAGGATTGAGTGTGCAACTGAAAGGAATGAAATCAAAATTGATGGCCAAACTGGTAGTTACACTTATATCAATGATAAGACTTTTACAGCAAATATTCATTCATTAATTAGCTAGGTCACGTATTTTGTTTTACCCACCATCATGATCCAAGTTGAATAAAAAATGGGAACTGACTAATGAATGAATATTTGCTGTAAAATTCTTATCAATGCTATATGTGTAGCTACCAGTTTGGCCGCCAATTTTGATTTCATGCTTTTAAGTCGTACATTGAATCCATTTTGGGTTCACTTTTTTTCACGCATAATGTATTTTTGACTAGATTATAAATAGCAAGAAAACCGAGTAAACTTCACGAATGTCCTGGTCAAAAATGCCCATTACCCATGCTCTAGTGGTAAATATGAGAAGCACCACGGATAAGATGAACATTTTAAACTGGCTATTTGCTTATACAACAAATTATTAACCATTTTATTAACCTATTAACCATTTCAACCTTATATAAGTGATCAAAGAAACTCACCTTATCTAACAACAACATACTCAGCTAAACAACACAAGTTCTTTTCAGTTAAACATCTTCTAATAGCTAAATCCTTAACTTTATATTTCTAATCTATTTAATCAACTAGCCTTAATGTGATAGATCTAGACAACATACTTATGCCAGCTGCTTTGTAATTGTATGTTTCTTAGAGCACAAGCACAAGGCTTTATTTTCTTTTATGTGAGACTTAACGTAATAATTTTCTTACTAATATCAAATTGAATTTGTGCTCATTGTTTTCGTTGTTGTCTTTTTTCCTCCATCTCTTTTCTGAAGATGGAATATGCTTATTCCTAAACATCCTTTTTTAAATAGACCAATGGTATTCTTCCTTCTTATTAAATTAAAATTTCCAACCAATGAATCTACTGTAAGAGGTTGTTTATAAATAGATGTTTCCTTTGGCTGAATGCACGCTATACACAAAAACACGACTCAAAAGGTACACAGTTCATTGTTAGGACAGTGTAAGATACCTGTTATACTGTTTAACCTTGACAGAAGCATAAAGAATTTTCATTAAAAAAAATGTACAACAGTAGAAACTTCAAAGTGGTTAGACAGTCTAGAACAGAATTTCATGACTATTTTCTTTATAATATTTTTGAGATTACTTAAACATGACAATTCCAACAAATTCTGTTATCTATACTATAACACATAAAGTGTAATGCAGTAAATGTTTTTTCTTTAATTTTTAAGTTCTATAAAATGTATAATGTTCAGTTCATCCAAAGATGGCCTTAAAATTATAGCTGAAGGTTTCGTATTAAAATACAGTTAATGTGGTGCCTGTTGGCTCTCAGTAAGAAATATCTAAATGCTTTGACAACTAAAATTATTAAATTAAATTCATAATTAATATGCTAATGATGAAACTAGTAGAATGTCAATTTCATAATATGTAGCATTTAATGTAGTTCATACTAATTACTAAACAATAAAGTAAGCTCAGCATGTTAGATAATGTTATTAGATTGTTTGTAGTAGTTTGAAAAAACTGAGGACCAACCCTTGTATCTTACCTCATACTTAAGGTTCGCCATTCTAAGATAAGTTTCTAGCTTAAGTGGGAAGGGTGAAATACTTGGGGCATATAGTCCACGTGGAAACTGGTGTAAAATAACCACATCTTTCTTGGCTCTACTTTCTTGCTGGCGGTTTCTGAAACATTACACATTATAGGAAAATTCTGTTTGTCAGTGTTTACTTATACTGCAAAACTGTTATTAATTTTGGTAAATAGAATGAAAAAGTCAAAATGTTATAAGTTCTTGCAAAACTATTCCAACACTTTATATTTCAAATAGAAACTAGAGTTTACTTTACATTTATCAATGAAAAATTCAACAGCGAATTGTTTGATGCAGTAATAACTGTGTGTGTGTGTGTGTACACACACATCTTACCATTTACTTTTTTTATTGTATTAAAGCACAGTGGTTCATAAATTGTAAATTTTCACATTGCTTAATTTATTCAGTGCTAAATATAATACACTAAAATACATTGTTTATAAAGATGTACAATATTACACTATTACCATACACAAGTTCCACCAGCGATATTGTTAAATTAACTACTGCTATTAATTTACAAGTTACTCAGATTCATTGAAGAGTATAAACAATTTCAAGGTGGTGGTGACTTAAAGCTCTCACAAATTTGAATAATCTAGGAAAAAGAATAAAAACTAATAAATTCCAAAAGAAATGAAATTCTTGAACACTTATGATTCATCATTTTTATCAACAACTTCCTAAAAACTGTTGACACTTACATACATTTTTATTTTATTAATTAAATAAGCCATTTACAAAAATCAGTCAATAATTCACTGAAGCATATTACCCTGGAATAAGTTTCATGCAGCAGTGATACTTTGATTCTTCATAAACAAAGGAAGATTACAGCAAAGACTTGACAATTCTTTGGAGGAAAGGGCCTGATGAACATTTCAACTACAGATGTGCTATTGAACTCTTTACTACTGCATGTTCTGACTTTTAGTATAACTTCATTTAAGACACATGTTCTTAGTGCTCTTTAACATGCATAATAATAATATTGAGGATATTTTCTTTTTTATTTAACCGCTTTTGCTGTTTTTAAAACAAGAATTTGATTAAATTTGACTAAAAAAAGGTCAACACAACTTTTATAGTTTTACATGTTACAAATCAAACTTGATACAACTTAATTTTACATTTTAATAAGGTTTTTTGTTGAGCTATGCAAGTTATTAGAATTGGCTTTGAACATGGTTTAGTCCAGATCTATTTACTGCACTAATGAAAATTAATGTTGATATACAGGTGTTTTACACATGCTCATAGACAGTTCAAAATACAAAATCAACACTAATTAAAATTAGTGAACAATATATTTGAGACCTTTGGGTTGAATTGCAAAAATCATACATATGTATAGTCTTACTGCCTAAAAACTTGAAAATAAATTAATCACGAGCTATCAGTTTCAAACCAAAAAGTTATAGTAAAGCCATGCTTACATGATGAGCTTATCTTGGCAAGATTCTATTCATGTTGTGCTGGATTTCATAAAGGGGCTTCTCTTCAAAGTTTGTCAGCTCCCTCATTTAGCTTTACCTCAATAGTACTGCCTGTAAGTGAAATTTGTTGGTGATACTGTCTATCTGCAGTTTATTGCTTTCAGCAATCCAGAGGAGGGCTCACTTTTTGGCCTCAAGCTTTATCCCAGTTCTCCTTATGAAAGCTTGAATGTTCCATCAGACTTATTCAGCATGTTACTGTTCCACAAGACAGTGAATGCCAAATCAACTCTCTCACTATCTTTCGTATACAAATCATCTTTGACTATGATGACATGGTCTTTAAATAGGTGCTGACAGGCTTTTACAGCTTCACTCTGTTAGTCCTACATTTTCTGTCTATGCTGATTTATACAGATCCTAGTAGCACCAATGTTTATTCGACAAGGGACATCTGATGGCCACAAGTTATTTCAGTGGTTGCTGTATATCACCTTTCCATCCACAACTGTCTCGTGAGGTGCCTTTTAGGCAATTCCCTATTTAGTGGTGTTTGACAACTCACTGCAGAGCTAGAAAAGCCCAAATGAAAAAAACAGTAGCTCGATGATGGAATGCATGGTAGTTACACTGCAATATATATGTAAGGAAATGTTCTTCTAAGTGCCATTGGTGTTCTTTGAATCTGCTGAGGCTTGTGAGGTGTAAAGGAGCTTTGATCATACTCATCATTGGTAATGCATTATTCAAGATGGAGTAGATAAGCCTTTGGTAGGACATAATAAGATGCTGCAGCTTTTAGTGCCTTGATGTTTTTGGTAGCTCTGGAAATCATGGTGTTAATGCAGCTGGGTTACTCCAAGGTACTTCAACATTTTTTAAGATGGATGGCAGTGCAAGCAAAGGATTGTAATGGTGTGTCCTCCTCAGTATTTCTTTTGTAGTGTGTGTGTGCAGAACATAGCCGTGTCTTTGGCAGATCAGGTGACCACTCTTGTATCACTGCACCATTTGCTCATCCTGCTCAAGGATAGTTGCATCTTGCTTTAGATTTCAGTTTTGTTACACATGTTACACTTACACAAATTCTGAGCAATTTGTCAATAAGAATGAACAGTTGGACTCTATTGTAAATATCTTCTAGATATAAAGTTATTACCAAGGCATTCTGACCAGCTTAAAAACCTTCCCATGTGTCAGCTGCATTTATCCAGGTTTCTCATCCACTGTGATAACAAACTGATGATAATGGTGGTAGTGATTCAATCTCATAGACAAGTCTTCTAGCTACAAAATTCTTTGGGATTTTTCCGTTGATGTTTGATAAGATGATGATTCAATGACTTCTATGAAAAAAAATTATCCTTCCTTGGCTAGGTAAGGATCTCGTAAAGGCATCAGTCCATATTTCAGGAATGTTACCTGTTGCCCAGCTGTGTGGATACTCCAACATTGACTTCTAGCTTCAAGAGTTGGCTTCTGTAAGCTTCTTAAAGGCAAAGTTCTTTCTTACACCAGATGGACTTGGAGTTCCATCTCTGTATTTATGACTTTGTATATCTCAACCAAATTAAAGATGATTTCCACACCTGCATGTAGTTGTAGCTCAGATAGAGATAGCTGTAACTTGAGCCTTTCCTGCATGTCACTATTGTTACACTGGTTAATGTGCATGTGCATGAAGGATTTGTCTTGGTCTTTATGTATGGAGTGAGGTACTGTCACTATCATAAATAACTGTCTTCACCACGGTTTTCATTCTCATGGCAGCCATAAGTTTGTAGAAGTGCTTGTGAGATTGGTATCAAGGAATAGTTCATTTCATTTCACGTGTTTTGGAAACTAATCTATTGTACAGAACACAATCTCTATTCTTTTCAGTATTTGCCTCATCCCTCCAGACTGGATCATGTCTTATCTGCATGAACTCAGCCCAAACTTGACTGCATGCCCTCCAGGCTTTACAAGTTGCACTATTCCACCAGTATGAGAAGTTCCTTTTGCAGAAGTTGAATATATTTGTCACAACCAAAAGTACCCATCCCCAGTGATGGGTAAAGTTTAAGTTAATCTATCAATTCAAATTATTTTATGGAATTTAAAAAGGTTAATTGTGTTGCACTCTTGGTTTTACTCAGAGTCAAAGCTCTGAGGTACTTATACCACCCACTGTAAAAAGTAATTATTGAGCATTTCAGTCATGCTAAGAGCTGATCAACAATAAATTACGGTAAATCTACATTTTTATTCTTTAAGTTACGACACATTTTGAAATGTTAATGATAATGTGATTAATTCCTAACAATTTAGTGTAGAATATCCTGCTTGCAAAATAAAATTTCACATCAATATTATTCATGTCTGTTCTCCCATCATTTCAAAAGTGAATGTTGAGCTTTGCCTGCGTGCGCAGCTTTTCAAGTGGGAGAGAGACGAATGCTCAGACAGACACCATGGTTCACAATATATATAAGGCATTATGTTAGACCTATCATGTCTCGTGACACTACATTTTTAATCTAGTTCCTTAAGGATTTTCAAAAATCAAAAGTGTATGATAATAGTATTTCAACCATACTATATTCATCACATCCATTGCCAATGACACATTTTGCTCAGTCCAAAGTTCTTCAGATTAGCTGGGATACAATGAACACTATAGTGGTTGGAACACTATTTTTGTTAAATGACAGTTGTTTTGGTGTGAATACCTTTTATTGATCTTAATTTGACTACTCAATGGTGGAGAGATGTTTGGGGAATGAATTCTGCCAGGAAGCATGACATTCTTTTGTGGGTTTCTAGATTATTTATACAGTTTTGCCATTCAGTCTTCCAGTACACCTTACATGAGGTGATCACTAAATTGCCAGGTGACATGTCACTCAAGGTGGGTTAGCAAGACCAAGGTCTACATAGGAGTCTCTGTCACCTTGGTGCTCAGGAATTCTAGTTGTTTTGCCAGTATAAGGTCAGTGACTATACAATGCAAAGCAGAATGTAAACTACTGCCATGAGTGTTTTCATCTGCATTTCAGGCGGAGTGTCTGGTACTAAAGTTTCCTACTGCTAGATAAGTAGGATTAATGTCAGACAGGAACCTTCAATCTTCAGCATGATGTGCTCTGTTACCTTTTATGTACACACTGGTGATTTAAGCTTGTGTGAGTTTTGGTGATCTATCTGGATGGTTTGTAGCTTGCAATTGTGACTGTTTCACTAAGAGCTATTATAATGTTCATGGTGGATGCTGCAGTCATACTAAATTGCAGGTTCTGATATTTGAGTCTTTTAAAAAGTGTGATGTCATAAAATTCAGAGTTTCTCTCCTCCTGACATTGCAGTATACTACAACATGAAATGTACCACTTTTGGAAATTTGTTTCATGTAATGAGAAATTGAAAATTACACAAGACTTTTTACAATCATCAACATACAGACACAATTTGTCGAGTTCCTCCACGTACTAACACTTTTCCCAGTTAGGTACAAGTCAGTTTTCTACAGTTGTTTTCCTTTCCTGGGTATATTGCATAAAAACTTATGTACACGTGACTTGTATCACTTTTCCAGATGGAGATCCTTTGCCAATTATGTTGTGTACTGTTGCCTGGGCACATGGATAGTAGTTGTCACTGACCTTTGTGTTCATGGATTCTTACCTGTTATAAGAATGCCATACTTTGATTATCATGTTGGGGCATGACTTGCTGCAGGTTTCTTTCCAGATGGTTCTAGTGCTCCAAGATGAACAATATTAGTTTGATTTCCAAAGCTGTTAAGTACAAGAGATATACTCACTTTGGAAATTCTAAAACCCAGATAACCTGGGTAAGTAGGATTCTACATTAAGAATTTTTAATTACTTGCCTTTTTGGCTGCTGAGCTAGTGTTTTTAATGGTCAAATAAAATTTTTGTATCATATTCAAATCAGGAGAAACCTTTCTTACACTTCATTTTAAATTTGGCTTCTGTTTTTAACAGTGTCTTCCTTTATCCTTCTTTATTTCAGCACTTTCTTGATGGCATGTTGTTAATGCTTGTTGCTTTGATGCATAGAATCCAAAGTTTAAAAGATTAGCCATATTTCTTTGGAAGCTGTTGTCTGCACTTGTAGATCCAACTGTACTGGTCAGCATGCTAATCACTTTGTGCATGAGGCCACACTTTTTAGCTAAATTAAATCTCGCCATGTTTTATATTTACTGCTGAGAGTTGAAATTTTTGTTTTTATCTGGACTTTGCAATATTTTTTTTAAATTCATCTGAAGACAGGTGTCTACCAATTTCCAAGTCTTAATTGTTAATCCTTTGTTTTCACATCCATCATTTTACAGAGAATCATGTCAAACCTTGCTAGTCTTAATTCCATTACAGTTTGGCAAAAGATGTTTAAGTTTTGTATTCAAGCTACAGTTTGACAGGTTGTGAAATGTGTATATAGTACCCAGAAAAACTCGCAAGTTAGATACCAGGATTGATGTACCTCTTTCAAGAGCCAAGTGCATTCTTCCACATAAAATTTAAAAAGTTAAATACAAGTGATAATTCTATTTCAATAATTTTGGGTTCAAAAATATTTTTGAATTTATAGTTTGTTATTAAGTACCATTTATGATATGTAATTTTAAAATAAATGTTCTAACTTTCATTTCTGCTCAGCTGGAGGAATCTGAACTGTTAGACAGCACATTTATATATTTATTTTCACAACTTTTCAGCCATTTCAAACTATATATATAAATATTTGCTAAGAAACCATCATCCCTCAAGAATACACTTATTCATATTTTGTTTTACGTGTAATTTTTCTTAACTTTCATAAAACAATAGTATGTAGACTGAATTAATGAAGTTCAACTTTGAAAAGAGCATTAAATATCAAATAAGAGAAAATTATTTATTTACATCATTCTACCTTCAATTACAATATTTTCTTTATTCTACAAGTTAAAATTCTAAATTTATTGTATATTTTTGAAATGATTGAAAGGCATTGGGGGTAGTCTATTGTTATGTGTCAGTTGGTTTCAATACTTCATAAGTATACTAGTTGAGCAATCCTTTTCCAGAATATTACAGAAAAGAAAATTTGATTTAAGAATAATGTTTGTTCAACATTGCATAAAATAAACAAATGACATACAACTACTGCAAAACTGTAATTGATTCTGTAATAATTATCTTATTTTTTTAGAAGACAGCAAGAGCAATTCAATGATGTAGGTGTTATTTAGAGTGAACTAATTGCTCCATCCAGCAAGTTCTTCATACTACAGATAAACCCCAACTGAGTCTGGCATGTATGTATATATATATATATATATATATATATATCTTCTATATAAGACAG